GTACACTCATATTGGTCCAAATAAACGACATCGGTGGCAGAAAAATGAAGATCCAGAAGCTGTTGTCGGTCATACACCAGCAGCGAGTTTATGTCCCAGATAAAACCAGCTTAACTGAGCCTTGAAGACAGTTCATCACCCTGTTGTGATTTCTCCCTCCCTCTCACTTGAGCTGCAGTTGCTCCCTGTGCTCTCTTCTTGCCTTTTGTTGATTTGTTTGTTAATAAAGCTTGATTTTGGTCCTCATTTTTAGTAAAACTAAACACATCTCAGCCCCATATTATTTTTTTACCTGGACACAGCTGACAACACTGAAACATTTCCTACTGCAAACAAAACTTTTATCACGGCAAGGATCAGCCCAGTTCAAACAAAATAAATCTGTTCATACATACCATCACAGGAGAGCTCCCCGTCAATGTTGACAAACTCGCGCTGCACTTCTTGAGAGCTGCAGCGCCAGCGCAACCAGCTGCTACAGTAACAGCGGTTGTTGCGCGCAACTGCGCACCCGGCTACAGTCTACAAGCAACAATTTTTTTCTCATTAATTAAATGCTCAAATCAGGGACATTTTCGGGGGCAGCTTTAGCCGGGGACAGATCATCCAAAACAGGGACTGTTCCTGAAAATCGGGGACGTCTGGTCACCCTATAGCATGGGTGTCAAACTCGTACAAAAGGGGGCCAAAATTAAAACCTTTTTCAAACTAAGGGCCTGTTTCAGAATCTACATTAGCTCAACTTAGATACCCACCATCTTTTCTTGGTTGCAGGTTCCTCAACAAGAGTTTGATTGGTCTCATTTGATGTTCTCTGTTGCACTTTGGACATAATAATCAAAGATTACTGAAAAAATTCAAGCGATAAAAGTATTTTACATTTAAAATATTATCTTGGCAGGCCAGAAAAGATGTCAACAAGGGCTGCATTTGGCCCCTGGGCCTTGAGTTTGACACATTTGTCCTATAGTAATACCATCAGTGACATTTAGTATAGAAAAGTATTATTGTTTGATAATTATTTTTCCTATAAACACATTCAAACAAATGTAGCAATAGCATTGATTTAGCACAGAGCCCAATACAATAACCTGGAAGCTAGCGCTAGCATTTTATCTCCACAAACAAACAAACAAACAAACAAACAAACAAACAAACAAACAAACTCACCAGTTCCCACTTTCAGAATACACAATCAGCTGAAGGTTTTTTCACAACCAGAGACATCTAAAAGTTGAGAGGCTATGTCAGAAATAGCAACATAGGCATTAGATAAAGGGCTTCAATGGTTTAAAGCCTAGCTGTAGCAGCTAGCCTGGTTGTGAGTGTCACTGCACGATCTGTTCCGGGACCAAAAAAAAAAAAATCTGTTCCGAAACCGGAAACATGATCCGTACCATGCGACCGTGCGCCCGTATTATGGGCGCAGGAGAGTTGCGCCCAGAATCTTCCTATCTCTTGCAATGAATAAGAACTAACTGCACATGTGCACATGTACAACTTTTAACAAGAGTCTATGAGCAAAGATTCATGCACCCCCAGGGTGGAAATACGTCATCAATCAGAGACAACATTTTTGAAAGAAACAACTTTACTCATAATTAAGTATAAAATATCTATCGTACACAACTAAAAAACATAAATATATTTCAAAATATTTTTATTTTGTTATTTAATTTTTATTTCTTTTTTTTTTTCTGTCTTCAAGGCAATTTGTGAGTAGTTTGAGTGGCAGGGCAGCACCCTAGCGCCCTCATTAACCAGACGCCACTGGATGGGTCTCTTGGACATTGTGCACCCTTGCTTTTATAGTATGTGATGCACTTAATGCCCTTAATGCACTTAAAGAACATTACATAGTTTTAATCAATACTTATGGTGTAAATGTATAGGCACAAAAATATTCCTATTATATATTTAAAATGTACAAATATTATGAATAAAGCTAACGAGAGACCCAAAACTTCTTCTTTACCTGAATCTACAAGAAAACAGTTGACTTTAAGTTATTGTTAAACCTTTTTCTTTGCTAAAAAGAATGCAAGAAACTTTTACATTTAAAGTTTAAATATAAAGTAGATTATATTTATCTCATTAATCAAAACATAGACAAGTTGGTTATCTATTCTACATATATTTTACTATAAATAAATAAATAAATAAATAAAATCAACACACCTTTGGCTGATCAAGTCCAGGAAGTGTTGAGTTTTATTTTTGCAGATTTTTTTTTCATTGTAATAATATGTGAGACTTTCACACATTCATGAACTATCTTAGATTAGAAAACAAATGTTCTGTTTTAAGACTGATTTTATTCTTCTTTTAAATCACACATACATGACACTGCACAAATGAACACAAATGAGAACATCTGAAAACTGGTGCAAGCAGTCCTGGGAATTTGTGAGAAGTTGAGATTGGGAAAAGTCTAAGCTTAATGACTTAAAGCAGTTAAACACGATTGTTGTCATCAGAATGCATGTTTGTACAATGAAGATGTCTTCAGTAAAGGCATATTGGGCTATATGCTAGTCTTCACATTAGTAGTATCGCTGTAGAGGCACCAGTGTAACTTAGTTTGTACAGTTTGGAAAAAAAATGTATACTCCCAAATAAATAAATAAAAATCAAAAAAGTCTAAAAAAAACTTTTTTTCTTTAGTATCCCGCATTAAGCTTGACCCATGCTACAAACATGAAGCCAGAATAAAATACTCTTGTCACACTTGTGCATATTTGCCTTGCTGTTCTATGACGTATTGAGACTCATGGTTGTAAGAAAAATAACGTCACATTGCCTCTTTATGTAACTGACAACATATATAGATTTCTCTAATAACACGTTGCCTCAGATTCATTGGTCAAAAGTTTTATAGCATAAACATAGCTTCTATGAAATGTCACATATACTCATGTAAGCGATAATAATCAAAATAATGTTGCAGCAAACTAACAATAACTTTACATAATCTCATGCTACATTATGCTAACACTGTTCAGTCGTGGTATTATGGTGAACTTGTGTAGTAGTTGTTGTCACTTCTCTCATTAGATCTGTGCATTTGAGGTGTATTTCTTTATTTTCTTGTCATATGTACATCGTAAATATGTTGCTTACAATGTCATGTGATTGTTTCTTGTATAAAATGTGCTGTTGGAGTATGTGCAGCATTATAACAGTACAAACAACATTAATATGGCGTCTTTGTTGTTTGTTTTATTTGTTTACATTTATTATTTAAGTGTTATGTGTTGTCATTATTGATGTTTTCATACAATGACAAAATTAATTCTCTCCATTTAACCCATCACACTTGAGCTACACGCAGGTGGAGCACTGGGCAGCTATGGAAGCGCCCAGGGAGCAGTTAAGGATTAGGTGTCTTGCTCAGGGACACCACGACATGCAGGAATGGTGGGGTGTCTGGTCCCAAGTCGGCTGCCCTACCATTACTTGTCATTCATTCCATAAAAATGGGCCTGAAAGAAATTGACGTGCAAGTTGTGGGAATGGCTTGGACTTAGTTGAAGGTGAGAACACAGGACAAATAACTGCCATAACACTAACAAAAAATAGAAATGAAAACCCAGAAGGTAATGGGGGAGGCCATGGCTAGATCCAGAAGACAGAAATTTGGATGGTTCTACAGGCTCATGGAAGAATAGTGACGAGAAGATGCTGGTGAATGCCACAGATATACTGCTGAAATGTCACATCTAGGAAAAAAAAGCCACAACAAAAACAGTGTGGTTACAGGGTGGAAACATAAGATACCTCATCCTTACTCTGTTGGACGCTGTCAACTTGACTTTTACAACACACTTAAATTATTTTCTTTTCTTACTTTTTGACCTACAGGAAAAAAAAAGATCAAATATGTCAGCATACTTGGCAAAATACGCAACAGTGTGACAGTAGCATTTAGCCTCATTTTTCTTTTTTTAGCACTCTTTAAAAGATTTTCAAACATGAACACCAGAGATTTTTGATGTAGGCAACATTCAGGTCAGCGGATAAACAACTGAAAAGCTGTTCAGATCAGCAGGTACACTTGCTCGTGTCCAGTTTTTGCTGATGTAGTCATGTGTTGGCACACTTGCTGTTTCTCAGGTTTCACTAGACAGCTGGTCAAGCACACATCACAGAAAATCAAAAGCATATGTTGCAGACATTTGCAGTGTCATCATGTCCATCTCTTTTGGCGTACATCTGGAAAAACAATCGGCCTTGCAGTACATATGTGACAACGGTTTTAAGAAGTGCACGTGTACAGCAGTGCTGTACCTCTGAAAGTGGATGTTCTGACCCAGTATAGAGAAAAAAAACTACATGTTCATATTGAGTGTACAGATTACGGCATTAGTTAACAGTTAAGAAGCAGAGTTTAGTGATTGCGTATTTATCTCACAGTAAAGATATTTATTGAGTGACAGGATACTTGGACAAACAGTTCAGCTATAGTGTAGTACAGCAACCAATGAAAATAATGATTTCTTATATTTTCTCTACCTCTAATCAAATGCAGTTAATGAGTCATGATTTTAATGTAACAGTGAGGATCAATCCAGGCGTTAAATTTTGTGATGCAGCTTTAAAAACAGCTTCTGTGAGACAGTACATACAGTAGTGGAAAATAAAATGGATAAAATGGCTGAAAATGAAATCATAACATTCTCATCATTCTATCAAACATGTAAGGACAGCATGCGTCTTCAATCTATAAAAAAATTAGGACAGTGATAGCCCAGTATGCAATGGTATTTCCCTCTGAAGCATACAAAACAGAAAAGGCACCACTGATATTTTTCTTTTCTGAAATATTCTGGGAACCTTTGCTAGTGTATGGCACTTTACCTGCAACACAGAAACCCATTTGTACATCTTTTTTCTTTATAAAACTCTTGTTTCACTACATCGCTAAAATAAGTTTTATTTGTTACTTTTACTTTAAACGCCTTTATGCAGCAACTAATTTGCCAAAAGTAACATTTTATTAGTGCTTATTAGTTCCCTAAACGTAAAATATCCTATGCTAATTTTTAGACTCTACACAGCAACTGGATTGAGGCATTTTACTTGCAAGTCATCATTTGGTGATGCTGAATAAGTCCTGCTGCTCTCCATGTCCCAAAGGGCTGTAGTACTGTCTGCATTAAGGAAGGCTGTGTCTCCTCCCCGAGGGTCCTCTGCTTCACTAAACAGCATGCTGTCACAACTGGACTCCATGTAATGCTGCACATGGCATGCGGCTCTTTTGGAGATGTAGTCACTGGTATTGTTGGTTTGTTCAGTCAGTTTCTTTGTTAAATCTGAGAAACTATGACTGGCAGCTGTAGTGTCATGGTCACCTGTGACTCCGTAGTTAACATTCTTTGTAATAAGCGCTGGGCTAGGTGGTAAGCTGTGAGCCACATGGCCGTGGTTGTAGTGAGAGAAGCTCCTCTTCTGTTCATCTAGCTTTGAGGACATGTGTGGCTGGCTCTTTTTTGACAGCAGCAAGGGTTGCTCCTCCTCAACCGAGGGGCTTAACGCCACTGAGGGAACAGAGATGGCCAGGCTGGACATGGGGGCTGACATCTCTGATGGAGGAGAGCCTGGAGTCGTGAGAACCGTCTTTGACTCAGGTGACAGCTGAGTTATGGCAGATGCATATCTACGGAAACACAATGAAAACAGAAACACTGACTACAGTGCTGAAAATGTGAACACAGTTAGGTTTGAAGAGTCCACACTGCAAAGTTAGACACAAAAACAACTTACTTTGTACTATACTGTACAGCTAAAGTGTATTTGGACCAAATAGTTATGAATCACAGAGTTATAAGATCTGTTAAACTTTGTTGGCCACACAAAAACCTAGTATTCCAGAATCATCTTTTTATTTACCATTTCTAAAAATATCCTGGTTAACGTGACTGTAGAAACGTCTTCTTCACCCACATAAATGCACTGTAGTAACTATGCCTGACCTGTATGTGGTGCTGTAACCCTGCCACAATAACACAACCAAAACAGAAAACAAGACATGGGGCATTAAAGTGGCATATTAGGAATGAATTCTAAACACAAGAAAAAGACGCATATGAGGTTTTAGATTAAGTTATGACGTCACTATTTCCAAAAGTTGGCATTTCATGAGGGTGACATCCATAGAAAACAATACTCTGAAGCACAAGTAATAAAATATATCCAAATTGCAGTTATAAGGTCTACGAACAGCCACAATACCTCACAGAGAAAATAAACAAAAAATTGAACTACTTAAAAAAGTTCATAAGAACTGTGAAGTGGTGCTCTGCCAGTCAACAGAACCCCATATCACCTTGTAGAGACATAGAAGGTTGTTAGGAGCATAATACATATAACAACTATTTTTGTTTGTTTGTTTTTCATTCAATAAGTAAGAAGTAGAGTTTTCACTGCAGGAGCCAAAATGACAAGCAACGTGTCCATGTGTCCTGTGGCCAAGAGGTTTGAGAATGTTTCTAGTTTTCAAGATGAGTGTTTTTCTGGACTGGAATTGAACAGGGAATACAAGTGAACCTTAATGGCTTTTTGGTGCAAGATATTCAAGTGAGTAGGAGTTGCACTGAGTATGTGTATGTGTGGGTGGGGGTGTGATGATGGCCATCTTGGATTTTGAAGTAGCAACCCAATTTTTGATAGGAACCTTCCTTACACCTACACATACCAAAGCCACATACCAAAATGAAAGTCAGTGCCTTACTTATTTTTCAAGTTATCAAGCTCACAAGATGGACTGAAGGACAGACAGACAGAGAGTATTTCCAATTTCCCTCCTTGCTCTGCAACAAGGTATAACAACAGGGTTCTAATGATCTTATCTGATAAACATTACAATATTTAAAGAAGTTTTGAGTTTCCATTTAACACAAAATGCAACCATATTCAGAACCACAGTGCCCACCAATGCAGAAAAGTGTGATTCCAGAATTCTGGGTCTAAATCTCTGTCTTTGAATGATTCCCATTTATCAAGCACATTTTCAAGATATCTTAGGTAAGAAAAACATTTCCCCACAAGTCATCATGATGTCAATAGTTAAACACACTTATGTTACACTTTGTTGTTCAAAAAGGACCCAAAGGCAGGTTTCACAGGTAGGAGGCAGGCAATTTTTCTTTTTTCTTTTGGCTGCTCCCTTCTTCAGGGTTCGCCACAGCGAACTAACTCGCTTGAAGACTTGGTAATAGTTTTTACGCCAGATACTCTTCCCGACGCAACCACAGACCACTGACCTACCACAGCCCTCTGTGTGGAATAGAAAGCTGCCATCTAGGGCACCCAGGGGAGCAGATGATGAGGGTTGAGGGCCTTGCTCAAGGGCCCAGATCAATGATGGTGGAGTCAGGTGTGGGTGCTTCACCTTTCCCACCCACATTTTGATGTTGTCGAACTGGTGACCTCCCAATCACAGGCCCACCTTCTCTAACTTCTGCACCACCACTTCCCCAGGTAGAAGGCAGGCAGGTGAAAGACAAAAGTTTTTTTTCTTTTATTAATTACTGAAATTATTTACATAGACTTCTACATTTGTTTGCAAGTGCAAATAAAAAAAATTAATTAACTAATGGATATGAAGAACTATCTATTTTAGTTTTCTAAGATTATACATAAGGTTTTGTCTTTTGACTCTCACGCAACAATAACAGTTTCACACAGCTTTGTGACAATGTATTTGTCAGTGAAGGCAATGATGCCACAGGTTGTTCTTTCTTCTCTGTTTCTTCTCCTATGTTGAAAAGGCCACAGGTCTCAGGAGTAAATGATTAACTGTTAGCACCTAATAGCGCTCGTCTTTTAGAATAACATGCTTTTTGTCTTGATAGAAGTTTATATAAAATATTGGCAAACTGTTCCAGTCAGTGCAGCAAGAGGTGCTTATTCGACTTCACTAAGGCTTTGTGAATTAGATAAATGAGCAATCATTAGTTTGTTCTTCTTTAGTGGACACAAATTTTATACAAGTCTCAGTGAATCAGGATCTGAGATGAAGTAGGTATGAGACTTTTTCTTAAAATGTTTTAGTCTTAAATCATGCAAAAAATCACGTGATTTCTAGTATAGTCAAGCTTTAGACTTAAGTAAGACATGAATGTGAAATAAACACTCTATAGGTGGCACAGTGGCTCAGATGGAAGATTTGTTGCCTCTCAGCAAGAAAGTCGCCAGTTCAAATCCCGGCCGGGGACCTTTCTGAGTGAAGTTTGCATGTTCTCTTCATGCATGTGGGTTTTCTCTGGGTGCTCTGAGTTCCTCCCACAGATGAAAAACATGCATGTTTGGCTGACTGGTAATTCTAAATTGTCCCTAGGAGTGAGTGAGAGAGTGAATGGTTCATTGTCTCGTTTGTCTCTATGTGTCTCTGTGATGGCCTGGAGATCTGTCCAGGGTGTCCACTGCCTCTCGCACAGGTATTGCTGGACATGGGCACCAGTAACCCCCATGACCCAAGAAGGAAGAAGCGGGTAAAGCTAATGGATGAACGGATGGATAGATGAATAAATAATCTGTTTAGGACATCTAATTAGAATCCCAGTGCTGGGCACAACTAACCAAAAAGTTAGCTTTGCTAAAGCTAAACCACTGAACAGGTAAAAAACATAGCAGAAGCTAACGCTAAACCACTAACCGCTCTGACGAATGTCACTGAGTCTGCATCACACGTCTTCGGCTCCTTCCAGTTGAAGCTGCGTTGACCAATCACTGATCCGAGGTGTTGATTTAGATGTAAGCAGGCTGCAGCCGTTGAATGGCCAGCGGTGCTACATCATTGGGTGACCCGTCCAGCAAAATTGCAAACTACATCTGAACCACCACTTCCTCATCGTGTTGACAGACAACACCACAAAAAATGAGCACCTTTATAGAGAAATATCAGAGAAGATGGTGCAGCATGTCTACACCCTAACTTATAAGCAGTGCTGGGATAAGCTAAAGAAAGTGAAGTCCGATTATAGGGTGATTAAGAACCGCAACAGGTGGAATGGCTTTAACACAATGACCTGTCATGATACCGCCCAGTTTGCATTGATGATCCCATCCACAGAGCGAGAAAACAAGTCACAGTGGCAAATCACCTCCACCTGAGAAGAACCAATAAGACGAGAGCCGAGTGGAGTCTCACTCATCAATGGAAAAGCTGCTTAACAGAACAACTCATTCTGTCAGATTAAAAAAAAACCTTTTTATTTTCATAACTGTTAAGCCCATTTTTTTTTACAATTTGTACGTCAGCGCCTACATACCTTCATTTGGATGAGTTTGCATTGTTTCATTACACTGAGGGCTGATTTGACCTCTGAACATTTACAGCAACAACTTCCAGAGGTAAATGTCTTATCTGAAATCCACGCTGACTTTTAGGTTTAAGGAAAATTAATATAGGAATTTTGCAGAAATGTCTAAATCAACCAACAGCAATTCCCTCAAAAACCAAACCAAACAAAACTAGATAAAGAAAAGCTATTTCTTAACCTATTCCAATTTCACTGTGAAAACCCCTAAAATTAAAGCTGGAGGATTGGACTTTAAAAATTCACAATTACACAAGTGTAACTTGAATATAGTTTGGTAAACAGCTAAAAATACAAAAATGCACAATACTCGATGTGCTTGTTTGTTGCTAGTTTAAACTTGTATGTATCTGAAGGATATAGGACCTGGAAAAGTCTTGGCAGCTTTTTGTTCTTTGTGGCTGTCTCTTTAATACACACATTTCAAATTAACTTGTCAATTACCTTGACCTTTAAGGCAACCCTTGTTGGAGTTTGGTGTGTCTCGGCACTTCCCTGAATAAGCACCTAAGTCACTGGTGCCACCTGTGGCATTCAGACGACCCCGGATGCCCTGTGTGGCACGTTGGCTATTCTCCGCCAGTGACATCACAGAGAAAGACTCAGTGTCAGACAGAAGACTGTTGCTCCAGTCCTCACTCCAGCTGTAGAGACAGGGAAGGTGGTATTTACATGGAGAGCGGTTTCAAACAAGCCTTTGTACCAAAATAAATAGGGTTCAAATCAGACCGTTTTTCCCTGGTTTTGATGCTGTCAAGAGTATTTTGAAAGCAGAAATGTCTACACAGAAGGTGACCTATTCAATCAGGCTTCTTTGACCTTGTCATATATTCAGAGCCGAATGGAGTGCAAAAGTATTCATCCCTCCTCCCCCACCCCATCTATTACGGTTTGGTGTGGTTAGACCCAAGTGCAGGGAGACATGGGGAGCACGACGTAAAACAGAGGTGGATTAATCAAATAAGCAAAAACAAAAGTGGCAGCAACAACTTACAAAATAACGCAGGGGAAAACAAAAGGAGGCACGAGGAGGACCAAGATGTCTGACAGGTTTGCAGAGCAACGAGCCGACGGTGAGGTGGTGACAAGGGATGGTTTAAATAGCAAGCTGGGTGAGAAGGTAAGTGGAAACACCTGGGTTGAGACTGATTGGGGACAGGTGAGGGTGAGAAGGTTTACAGTAAATGGAATATGGCAAAAGAAACTCTGGGAAACAAAATAGGACCTAACTACGACAACACAACTAAACCCAAAGGACAACAATAACAACAAACCTTGAAAAGAATGCTTAGATGACTGAAAAAATCACAAAAGGCACAAATATAACACCATCCTCCCAGAATTAAAAACTCTTAAGTAAGCTCTATCAATGAGCAACAGAAAAGCATGAAGACCAAGGAACTTTTCAAACAAATTAGACATAAAGATGTGGAAAAAAAACAGACACACGGGTAGGTTGTTTAAAAAACATATTCCAAACTCCGAGCATCCCATAAAAAATATGCCATCACAGCAAACCAGCCAAGGAAAGGTCCACCAAAACCCATACAGGACAAGAAGTCCATAAATCAGAGAATCAGCCAAGACCCCAAAATAACCCTGATGAAGCTGGAAGACATGAAAGTAGTTCCCCTTCTGTAAGCCTTACACTGCATTGAGCTGGGGTGGATGGAAGAGTGGTCAGGGAAAAACCATTACTTTTAGGAAAACAATGCTGATTAATGCTGTCACCCAGGAGCTAGAAGATCACAGTTTGAATCTAAGCTGTTGCAATTCTGCATGGAGTTTATGTTTTCCCTAACCATGTACTAATTTTTTCCATCCATCCATCCATCCATCCATCCATCCATCCATCCATTATCTTTACCTACTTCTTCCTTTTCGGGTCACTGGTGTCCATGTCCAGCTACCATTGTTCGAGAGGCGGGGTACACCCAGGATGGGTTGCAAGTCCATCACAGGGCCACAGACAAATGAGACAAACAACCATTCACTCTTTCACTCACACCTAGGGACAATTTAGAGTTACCAATCAGCCTAACATGCATGTTTTTGGTCTGTGGGAGGAAACTGGAGTACCCAGAGAAAACCCATGCATGCATGGAGAGAACATGCAAACTCCACCCAGATAGTGCACTCCACCTCATATATCTCCTCCTACATATCACTACACGAGCACAGCTACAGTGTGCGCTCTCAGGACATTATTACATGCAGTGTTCCCTCAGTGAGGACTGAACTAGGCAAAACGGCCTTCTCCTACTTTGCTCCTGTTTCCTGGAATATCTTGCAAAAAGAACTGAAGCTCTCAACCTTGATCTCTCTAAGTGGCTTCAAACATCTGCTAAATTCATGGAAAAAACCAACGCAGACATGCTCCTGTTTTTAGTACTTTATATCGCTTTGTAATGTAGTTGTTTTTGTTTCATTTTTTATATCATTTTCTTCCATGCATTTTTTTATTTATATGCCTTCTTTTATGATTGTCTACTGTTGTCATCACTTTATTAAAATTCAGGTCTCTCTTACAAATGAGTCCCCGAGGCTCAATGGGATTAACCTGTATAAATAAAAGTTGAATGAACAGGCCAGGCACATTCCATGTGCTCTCTCAAATCTTAAAAAAAGCACACTCACTTGTGATATTAAATTGACTGACTGCTGGAATAGGTGAGGGTTCCCACTGCCCTGGACAGGATTATGAAAGTACAGAAAATAGAAGCGTGAAAGGGTTTCTGTCTTCTCCATCTTAAAAACTCCCATTCATGTGACATCACCCTTTGAACATTTTGTATATGAAAGAAATATTTTATTTATTGATCTGCTTTCTGATACATTCAATATTATTTCCTGATAATAATAACCTTTATAATCCTTTTATTACTTTAAGATTATTGTGAATGCTTTGGTATCACTTGTGAATCAGGTGACAGTAGCAACTAGCCAGACGTGCCTACCGCCCCCCCCCCCCCCCCCCCCCCCCAAGAATCCTTGAGAAATGTTTACCCCTGGCAGCTCCCTCTGTGTGTCTGTGCTTGCTGTGGGTCGGTTCCAATAACACGAAGGTGAGGGAGGGGCCCCCATGTTATGTTTCTACAAAAGAAACCTTATCTAGGCTGGAAGGCTGAAACAGATCAGAACCAGGGCAGGGGAAGTTTTAAAAGTTCTGTACTTCTAATGTTTTTGCTTCCTGTATTCTGATTCTCTATGAAGCTTTATGTTATTAAACTTGAGGAAATCTACACCTGATCATTTGTGAATCAGGTTTTTCTAGAACTTGTACACTTTGTTCTGTTTTTCCTTTGGTCTTTTGTCAGAACATCTGATCACTTGCTTGTTATGGCCCCGAGTTAATCTCTTTTGCCACCAGTCCGACTGTATTTGTTTGATCCTTGTAGATTCTCTATAAATGGGTCTTTTAGTGTTTCTGCCTCTGAAGTATCTTCAGTTCATTCAGTGTATTTTTTTACCCGAGTTTAAAATTTTCGGCATCTGCCTTCTGTGTCCTGCATGTGGGTCCTCCTGCAACTTCACAGAGATCATCAGCATTACCCATCAACCAAATAATGACTCTAGGAGCACACCAGAAATGTACTTTTTTGAATACTGACTTTTTAAAATATATTCAGGAACAAATGACAAAGATATAAATGCAAAACAAAAATTTTTGATGCATATATTGTGATGAGATTTGTAAAGTTACACAGTCAAAAATTAACAGCAATATTTTAAACTTTAATAAGGAAAAAAAATTCCCAAGTCATATTTTCACCATGTTATTCATACATTTATATATGCCGTAATTCCCAACTAAATATTTAATTTATAAGCTTAATATTCAGTTTACAAACTAAATACTAAACTTGAAAGTTAAATATTTAGTTAGTAAACTAAATTTTAAGGTGATAATTAAATATTTAATTTCCAAGCTAAATATTTATTTTCAAAACTAAACATTTAATTTCCAAACTAACTATTTCTTGTCCAAGCTAAATATTTAATTTCCAAACTAAACATTTAATTTGCTAACTAAATATTTAACTCTGATCTAAATATTTAACTTGCAAGCTAAATATTTAGGTCCAAGCTCCTAAATATTTAGCTTGCAAGTTGAATATTTAGATCAGAGTTAAATATTTAGTTAGCAAATTAAATTTTATTTTGGAAATTAAATGTTTAGTTTAGAAATTTAAAATTTTGCTTGGATAATAAATATTTAGTTTGGACGTTAAATGTTAAGTTTTGAAAATAAATATTTTTGCTTGGAAATTAAATATTTAATTTACACCTAAATATTTAGTTTACTAACTAGGCAATAATAATAACGATGCATTTTATTTGTTAGTGCCTTTCAAGACACCTAAGGACACTTCACAACATTAAAAACACAAAATAAAACGCAAAATAAAACAATACAAAATGGCTTTAAAAACACGAAACTAAGAAGAAAATAACAAAAAAAATTAAAGTGAGATGGCTAACTTGAACAGATGGGTTTTGAGTTGTGATTTGAAGGTCTGAAGGGAGTCAATATTACAGATGTCTGGGGGAAGAGTGTTCCAGAGTTGGGGAGCAGAGTGAGAAAAGGCTCTGTGTCTTATGGTGCTAAGACGGACGAGAGGCACGTTGAGGTGGATGGAAGAGGAAATATTGCTGCTAATTTTTGACTGTTTGTTTACAAACAGTACCCCATAAATTCCTGCAACAAAACTTGAATTTTATTGTCACAGTTCAAAGTTTTGGTGCTGCGCATCACTTCATAGATATGTGATTATATCAACACAGTCAAACGAACAAGGAACTTGCAACTGCAAAAAAAAAATCTTAAAACAACAAACAAACTTGCCCTTAATAATATTTGAACGTACAGTATATTAATGTGGGAAAAACTAAAGCAAACAGAAGTTGCTAAAGTGACCACAGCTTGACATGTTTGTTCCTACCTTTGGCTGGAGATGTTGGTGAGTGTGGTGGGCTGATTTGCAGAGACATATTTACTGGTAGGGAAGGTAGTTTCTGTCTCCTCAGCTGTCTGCTGCATTGCTGACCCATTACATGGCTAAAAAATATGTAAATAAGTTGTTATGTCTCGACAGAATTCAAGTTTTGACTACTTTCATGTGATATTAGCAGCTTACATTGACAAACTTTAAATCTTGAAGAGGCACATTAGAATTCTGTTGTCCTGTAGCAGAACCTTCCAGATTGGAGCCAGTACCAGTACTATTACCAGAACTGGTATTGTTCTTTCGTTTGTTCTTACTGCTCTGCCTCAGGCGATCACGAAGTTTCTTCCTCTGCTTTCTGTTTGTAAAGAAACAAAAAGGAAACTGTGAAGCAGCAAAGATCACACAACATCATCAAATTAATTTGTAAAAATTCAGAACCAGTCAAAAGGTAAACCTAGTCATATGTTTTTCATGACTGTTGTTTTGGTCAATTTAAATATACTTTTTTATTCTATGTGTATGCTAATAAATTCAGTCCTATTTGGTGAAAATTTTAATATTGTACAGTAAACTATCTTCTACATTTTAAAACTGCTTTGATTTTTGGTGATTTAAATCTCTCAAAAATTGTTACTGTGTACTAATGTGAAATAATACAAATGAGACAGAAAAATAGAGAAAAACTATTAGTTTAAACAAAAATAACTAAATTTAAAAAAAAAAAAGGAAAAACAAAAGAAAAAAACAGTAATCAACACGTCTCATTACTGTATACAAGTTATTGGGTGAAGGTGACCTCTAAATGTTCAGGTCCTTGTTGGAGTGGAACTGAAAAATCTTCTGACAGAAGATCTGCTCCTCTTTTACTGATTGTGATCACTGTGATTTGTCTTTAGCCATGTTATTTTTATGTTTAACAACTTGTACATCATCATTTTCTTGTGGAATCAGCTCAAGAGTGTTCAGAAAAGTTCCACACACAGAGACAGCCCTCTTCATCGGTTTGGTTGGTTTCTTTAGGGCATTCTTTACACATGATGGTGATGACACTACAGTCGTTAAAATACATAAATCAACCACAGTGTGGATGACATGGCTCTTCTCTTCTGGCTTCTGTGAGGTTGAGGTGATTTATCATTGTGGTGGAGTCTCAAGTGCATCATCACAGAGTGTAGTAGCAACATGTCCGTGATGTGGGGTCCATATACACCTGGGTAGCTCAGTTGTCAAGAATTTGAAGCAGGACTGGCAACGCTGTTCAAATTTAAAAACACCAATCTGAGCTTAGAAATGGATGTCAGTGTTGTAAAGAGTGTACGTCTGTTGACAGGGTGTAAGAGAGGAAATACGATGGGGCATGGAGAGTGTGGGGACGTTTTGTGTTGCTTGAGCCATTGGAGACTAATTCCATCCTTTGTATTTTAAGCTTTTGACAAACATGCAGCTCACCAACTCTGTCCAGGTTTCCAGTCTGGTCTTGTTTTATCTCAAAGTTTGTGATAACACAGCCTGCATGTCCGTCTTGCTCTACTGATTTTTACAGTAAATTTCTCTCTGGTCTCTCTCATGCTTTTTTAAAAAAAATCTCTCTCTGCATAGTAACTCTATAGTAACCCACTTCCACTTGCCAGTTTTTTATTTCAGGTCACTGGTCATTTGGGACTTATTATTGAGAAAGTGCCTCACTTTTCTGGTAGGAATAGGCCTCTCCAGTCAGAGACTAATGTAGTCTGTCACAAAGTCAGTCATGGCATTGGGGTCATTTCCATGAAGAGTGTAGATAACAGCCCAGTCATTTGAATTCACTTCCTACGATCAACTCTTTATGATTTTCCCAAGAAAAGTCATGCAGGTCAGATGTATAAATGTCTGGCATTTGTATAAAGTAAATCTAGTGATTTATTCTATCTGGTAGTTCAACTGTTTTAAAGCAAAATATGTAGCAGAAAGAGACTTAGTTGAAGTATTCAGAGACGAGAGTGATGAGAGCTGATGGAATAACATGCACGCTCTTCAGCAGTGTTAGGTAAAATGTAAGGAGCTGCCAAAATATTACAAGTGAATTTTAATATATGTGAAACCAGTCTCTGGTTACTTTAATAGTAATATAATTTAGTTTAAAGGGTTATAGCTTACTAATAACAATAAATTATATTAAAAAAATTATCTAAAAGTGTGTAGTTTGTAAATTCATAAATACATTTGACAATTGACAAACGCCAATCAAAACTGAGAAAATCTTATGAGTAGGTTTACCTAAACTTTTGACTGGTCCTTCAGAGAGGAACATGTTTAAATTCATGCAATGTTAATATGATTTATTTATAGTGTTAGTAAATACTTTTACAATGGGACCAACTTAAAATATAGTTTTCAATTAGCTCCTCAAAATCCCCACACCTCACTCAGCTCATTTTATTCCTAAATAAATTTTGAGTTACCAACAAAATTTACATTAAAAACAAAAAACCTGGAAAGGCTTTGGTCTTGTTTACAAAGACAATCAATGCTTAAATGTCTCATTGCCCCCTGCTTATACAACAACCATAATTTATTGTTTTGCTTTTGTACAACCATTTGAAATGTTAAAGCTAACAGTCATACTTGATTAAGTTTAGTCTTCAAAAGAAATGTACATATTTTGGTTCAGTAAAAGAGATTAATGTGCTTTCCAGCATTTCTTCTATATTATAGGGATTACTGTGAAAATATGGGATGCTTTAAAATCAGTGTTATAGACTTTCATTCTGCCTTTATATAAAATCCCAGGGGATTCAGACTAAACACTGTCAGTCAGAATGTGCTGATTGGAAAAATGTGGGGATTTGGGTGCAGTAATTGGCATCTCAATGAATAAAACAAACATAAAATTTTGAGATTATTTACTTTGTTTTGCAGTAGGCAACCACGCACATGATCCCAACGACTAGGAGTGCTATGCAGATTCCTGATATTGTTAAAATACGTTTTTGATACAACTCCTCAGCTTCTGAAAAAGAGGACAATAATCTTTAAATCATCAGGTCTACAACACATACACATATAATGTAAACCCAAACAGTAAGAAAAAGGACTGTGAGGATGGATTAACAGCAACAAAAACCTAAAATGCTTACTACGGTAGTATTAAAAGTCAATTTCGATGAATAATATTACTAAAATCAAGTCAGTTGAGATAGACATTTTATTTCTCTTTTTTTGGTTGGGTTGCAAAAGCAATAGGTTCAAGAGGGAAACCCAAGACCATTTTCTTCCCAGCTACACTTCTCAGATTTTCCTGGGGGATTCCAAGGTGTCTCCCAAATCAAAGAGGAAACGTGATCCCTCCAGGAAGTTTTGGGTTTGCCTTAAAGTGACCTCCCTGTAGAACATGCTCCAAACCTCCAGAGAAAGGCATCTGGGAAGTATCCTAATTTGACTCCCAAACCACCTTAAGTCAGGTCTTTGGATGCAGCAAACACCATAGATGAGTGTTGGAACAATGTTGTACTAGTACCGTATTTTCCGCCCTACACATTGCTCCGCCCTATAAGTCGAATCAGTCCAAATATGTCTAAAAAAGTGGAAAAATCCATAAATATGTCTCTTTGCCATATACGTCGCATCTATTATGTGTCACAGCTGACGCGTCGCGTTTGTTACACGTCACCACTTACAACCCGGAAATGTGGGCTGCTGTTGTGCCAAAAATCGATGGGCTGCCAAATGGCGGCCACGGGAGCATGCACAGGAGGACTTTAACAAGAATTTAACAAGATTAACACTTAAACAATTTTTTTTTAACTTATTCACTGCTTCGGTGTTCAGGGAGCGCGTAGAGGGCGGAAAAAAATAAGGAGGAATGTTGTCCGTTTCTTCGAAATTGAACAAGAAAAGCACCTAAAACAATTGTTTGTTTTGCTCGAAATTATAGCAAAGGTGTGTCTCAGTTGAACTTTTATTTAATAAATGCACTTCAATGGTCAAATTAGCTGCATTTCACCAGGGCTGTGCAGCTGGTTTGACAGTTCCAAGCAGCGAGCAGAACGAAGATGGGGGGGACTTTGGAAAACCGATTGTATCATTAATAAATGGTGAAGATTTTCAGTCATCCAGGACATGGTAAATTCAAAAAAGTTCAAGTAAAAGTAAATTATAAAGTATAATAAATAAAGTTCAGTTGTTTTTGTATTGAAATTTTTGAATTTATCGTTATAGCCACGTTTACCTATTACATGATACAATGACATGCCATACTGCGTCTACTACTCTGCTGCCATCTAGTGGCTAAAAGTGGTACTGCTCTCTTTTTTCAGTCAGAATGAATGAAAACAGTCATATCTCAGCCAAAAATTGGTTTATAAATATGGGAAAAAAGCTATAAATATATCGCTTGGCCTATAAGTCACAGGGCATGTAAATTATGCAAAAAAAAAAAAAAACCTGCAACTTATAGGGCGAAAAATATGGTAAGTAAAAAGCTTTGCTTCTCGGCTCAGCTCTTTTACCATGACAGACAGAAGCAACATCATTATTACTGCAGACCAGGTTCCATCCATCGATCCATCTCTTGCTCTATCCTGCCACTGTCATTTTGTGAATAAGACACCCATATACTTAAATTTGCTACTTGGTTTGAGGCAAAAACTCTCTTCAACACAAAGGGGACATTTAACTTTTTTATGGCCAAGACCCATGAATTTAGATTTTGAGCAGTTGCCTCTCATCCCACTGGACTGTGAATTGTCCCATGCATTCTGAAGGTTATGATTTAAAGATATCAACAAAACCACACAATCAGAAAAAAGCAGATTTGACCCCAAGGTTACCAAACCTGACACCCTCGCTGTCCCTTGACACTCTGTTCATGAACTGTTAGAAAAATTGTCTCATTCTCTGATGTTGTTTGCTCAAAAGAACCACTCTCTTGGAAGGTGAAGATTTATATCTGGCATTTTACTTAAGGTCAGATTTCTGGACAGGTTACATGAGATTAATAAACATACATAGATGTGTATGCATGAAAACCAGTCACAGAAAACAGTCACGAGCCGCGTTATCTGCTTGCTTTCATATCCCTCTCAGCTCAGAGTTCAACATAGTTCAGGGGGTGTCCTTGAAGTCAGCTGCAATCTTCTTACACACAGAACAAACATATGGTTTATGGGCAGAGATAACATTGTGTTTTAGGAGATGGTTCGGGTGTTTTGAGAGACAACCAATCTCCTTTTTCTCAGGGTAGAGGAGAAAAATGTTCTCAGTCATTATAATAAAAACATTCATAACATTTGACCAAACATTCCCTGACATGAACGCCTCAAACATGATTAGGGACAAGAGGTAACCCTGGCAGAGTCAAACTCACACTGTGAACAAGCTCAACATAGTACAGGGAGTGCAGACAGAGTGTTTGCTTTGAGTATACAGGGACCAAATACCCTTTAAAATCAAACCCAGCACCCTCAAGTTTGCCTTGGGGAACACAGTCATAACCTTCTCCAGACTCACAAATAAATGTAGACTGGGGAGTCAAACTTACATGATACCCTCTGCAACACTGCAAAGGTGCATCTGCAATCACTGATCTGTTCCACAACTCAAACAAAAGCCACAATGCTCTCCTCGAATCTGAGGTTCAACCATTAGCTGGAGCCTCTGTATGGGTATCCCTTTCCAACATTATGAAGTAAACTTTACCTGGGAGGCAGATCAGTGGGATCCCCTTTGGAACATGGCTATACCTCGGTTTTTAAAAATCAAAAATTGTAAAAAAAATTAAATATAAAAAAAAGTTGTGTGGGGGGAACAACCTTTAGATCTTTGAATATCTTAGAGCAAATCTTATCTGCTGGTGCAGACAGTGTTTGATTCTTGAAGCTGTTTCACTTTTTGTTAAAGACATTTTCTCTACTTGATTCTGAAGAACCAAACTGAGAAAGGAACAATATCTGCTACGGAATAATAGGTTAAAGACCAAGATCAATGCAACTCAGAGAGAAGTTTTTCCGTTAACAGAGTGATATAAAAGGTACAATGTAGAAATAACATTTTATTTTGGAAATATGCCTAACAAACCATGAAGGGGAATTGGAGACTGACGAAAAAGAAGCAAATCTCTGACATCAATAGTAGTAAGAAACAGTAGGCATACAAAAGCTGGGGGAAAAAATCTGTTCTCAACTAAACCAATTAAAGTGTGCTGTCAATGGTAAACTAAAACTGAAATAGCTTATGGGAGAAAGTGGCATCACATAACATCAATGCCTCATAGCCAGAGAATCTAAGAGATGACCACAACAGATCCTGTAGACATTTCTGTGGCAGACATCCAAGTAGAAAGAGTTGGACTTTGCCAGGTCCAGACATAAATCACAAGGTAAGGAAACTAACTGTTCATGAACCCCCTGTAATATAAATTAATTATGTGCTAATGGATAGCACCACACAACATGTTTGACTCAAGACCAAACAATCCTAATCATAAAGGGCTCATTTCTTCCAAATGATGGGTAAAACCCTGCCTCTGCACATCAAGGTATCCTTAACATTAAGGTATCCTGCACATAAAAGAAAATTTGAAACTATATGGCTTTATTAGAACACTAAAAGCCTACATCAAAACTCAATTGGACTGTGGGAAAACATTTTGGAGGTCAATTCAAAACCAATTGCTCAAGTTGTCATAGTGGGATATATGACAAGGAGATGCTCTATTCTAGCTACTATTTTGCAAAGGCCTAAATTATTTCCAGTGAATAAAAAAACGGAAAGATTTGTCACCAAATGTGTTTAAGCCCTGGTTCAGAACCAGGAACTAACTTAGCATCTTTTCTTTTGATGATCAATATGACCATGCACAACTAACTGCTACTATCTAATGTCCTTGGTATAATTTGAATGTTTATTGTTGTTTGTGAGTTATGATGCAAATTTTGATACTTGCACGGACAACATACACAAACACAGCTTTCAAATTAACTTATGGGAACTTGGTTCATAAATATTGTTTCGTACCATATCTTGACAGCACTGATAAATCACATTTACACTACAGCACTTTTAAAACAACTAGTTTAAAAAATGTCATGGGGAATAATGCAAACGTTGCTTTATAAACCTTTACATTGTTGTCAATTTCATGATATACAGTGATTTAAAAACAAAATAGTGGTTGTAAAATATTTCTACCAAAATAACCATATAAAATGAAATCAACTGTAATAAAATTGGGTTTAGATAAACTACTGTGTCATCTTTGAGACTGGAGTTGTTTTATGATGGCAGCATTCCACTTTGGCCTTGACCCCACTTAAACTAGCCATTAGCTCATCAGTTTGTATATACTTAAACTCTTTCCCTGCAAACTGAGATTGTTCAAAGAACTCTCTTCAACAGGTAAGCTTGTTCATTTGAACCGATGCTCCCATCTCTATGGATGAGCCTCCCAATTTCACAGAGTTTATCTTTCACTTCTTGGTCATTGTTGGAGCTTCAAAGCAAAGGGGATCAATGCATATACAGACAAAACATTTTAATTAAAATGTTTTGTCTGTATATG